TGCAGTGTGGCCAGGGCAGCGGTGGGCTGGGCCTGGGAGGTGGCTTGGGGTGCAGTGGGCAAAGAAGCCCACTCACCCTCACATTCGTCCCTCAGAAGGGACGGCCTCTTTGGAGCTGGGCCTTCCCATCCACCCACCCATCAGGCCCAGCCTCTGGGCCTGACGTATACCACAACTGGCGCCTGGTGCGCAGGTGGTGTGACAGGGTGAAGTGACAGGCAGGCGGGCGGGCGGGAGGGACAGCCTGGACCTGGGTCCGAAGCGGGCTCCCCTCCTTCACCGTGGCACATAGGCCACGGAGCTCACCAGGGGATGGGGGCTCAGAGAGGGGGGCACTCAGCTCAGGGCAGCCCAGCATGAAACTCCAGGCCTTCTAGAAGCCCTGAGTCCTCCCCTGGCCGGAGGCAGACGCCCCAGGTAGCCAGGTCAGACCTCTGAAGGCCTCCAGACAGAGAGAGGGGGCCACACCTCAGGAGTCCCGAGTGCTTCCTCCAACCTCAGGTCACATCACTCATCCGTCCATTCCACAGCGTTTTATAAGGGTCGGCATATGTCAGCCACAGCGTGAGTGGGACCTTTGGAGCTGGGGGCTGGCAGAGGACCTGCCCTGTGGGTCCAGCTAAGCTGACAGGTGGCGGCAGGGCCAGGCTTCCGGGGGCCCACGCCACACCCTTCTTCGTTCCCTTTCCAGGAATGCTCGGAGTCAGACGATGAGTGGGGCCCTGTCCCTCCCAGTAGCACACCTGCACACGCAGGTACCTCGGATGACACAGAAGAGCAGGGCCTCCCTCGCTCCCCCCGCCCCATGAGTCAGTGCGGGTGCCATCTGAGAAGGACCCCAGGGCGGAGCTTCAGCCAGCCCAGGTCTGGAGAGGCTTTGTCCACAGCCAGGGGAGGGGTGCTCCTTGGAGATGCCTGTCTTCCCACTCGCTCCTCCCGCTCTTCAGTGGGGGACCGCAGTCACCCCGAGGCCCCATCTGGCTGCAGCCTCTGAGGCCTTCCGGTCCGCAGCTGTGGCAGCAGCTCTGAGGCCTGCAGCACTCAGACTTCAGACACGCTCGATTTGGAACGTAGGACATGGGGGCCAGGCAGGAACGCTGGGAGACAAGCCCAGGGGAGGCTGGGAGGCCCAGGCCTGGCCCTGACACCAAGCACAGTCCCACAATCCTAAGGGTTTAAGAGATTAACGGGTGTGTCACCGGTATCCACTTACGCAAGAGGAGAGACAGTATGGGAGCGTCTTTTGGGACAGGATGTGGGTGGCCAGAAGAGAGGAACACCCTGCTTGGGGACCGCAGGGCTGGCACACGGGGCACAGAAAAGGGCCAGTTTGTCCTACCACTTCTGCTGGATGCCACGGCGGGTCTAAACACGGAGCTAGCCCTCTGGTTCTGGTCCTGTGAGCTCCGCTTTGCCTCCCCAGGGCACTTCCGGAGCCGGTGCCTCCACAGGTTCCCCTCCTGTGTCAAGCCCTCCTCCTACCCACGCAGCAGAAGGCAGGCCCAGGCCCCAAAGAAGCCCGTCCCCACCCTTCCTGAGCCCTGGGGGTCCCCCTCCCGCCCCCCCATCACCCAGCTCCAACTGGCTGGAGAGGCGGAACTACGGCCACCCATTCCAGCTCCGCCTCTCCCCACCTCTGCTCCTTTCCTGGACCCGGATGCATGTGTTACCATCTAGGGTTTGTGTTTACCGTTACAATCTGGCCAAGAATTGAAGGACAGGACACAAGGTGCTGGGGTGCGAAGGTGGGAGCTTTATCACAGAGCTAAAGTAATTGAAAGCAAATAGAACGGGGGGGGGGGGGGGTGCTCCAGCTAGAGAACTACAGGGCAAGGAAAGTGGGGGAAGAGGCAGCGTTTATTTATGTGCAAGGAAGAGTTGGACACCAGGGGAAAAGCCTCTTAGCTATTGGTGGGTTGGTATAAATCCTGGAGCTGGACTCCCACTGGAAGGGCTGCTTTACCTCCTATAGGCTCTGACCCTCCCGCTTCCCAGGCATGGAGGAAGAGGAGAATTCAGACTTTGCAGTTGAAGAGAGACCCAAAGCAGTAGACCCATAGTAGGCTCAAGGATCCCCCTTTTTGTGCTGGTCTTAGGGCTCAGTCCCTGAGCTTCTTTTGCTCAAGGCTAGTACTCTACCACTTGAGCCACAGCACCCCTTCTGGCTTTTTCTGAATAGTTTATTGGAGATAAGAGTCTCATGGACTTTCCCACCTGGGCTGGCTTTGAACCGTGACCCTCAGATCTCAGCCTCCTGAGTAGCTAGGATGACAGGTGTGAGCCACCAGCATTCAGCAAGGGTCCCTTTATGGTCATGCTTGGCTGCTCTGGCATGTGGTTGAGTTACTGCCCACCCCACCCAAGGGGAGGGCACTGTCCCCTGCAGGAGTCTGGTGGGGGGGGGGGGTGGTCAAGGTCTTTGCTTTCTCCCATCTGTGATCTGGACCTCCCTAGAGGAGGGGGCTCAGCAGCTGGGCCTAGGAAGGATGGGGTTGTGAGGAGCATCGCCGGACAGGACCACCTATAGGAGCTGCACCCTTCCAAGCAGCCAGCTCCCACCCTGCAAGTCCCAGTCCAGGCCCAGGACAATCCAACCTCCCCCCACACAGGGGCCTCCCCATCCTTCCTAGGTCCCCAGGGCGGTGGCCAGCACTCAGCCAGGCGAGGAAGGTGGCTGAGTCAGGGCTCTGAGGGTGGAGGGGCTCTGGGGGAGGGCAGGTGAAGGGAACTGGGGTAATGGGGAGCCCTCAGCTCTCTTGCTGCCGGGAGGCCTAGCAGGTGATCAAGCAGGTGATCAGCATGGGGAGGCAGAGGGAAGGAGGGGGGAGGGGCTGTGCACCGGTTCCCAGATTCCCACCAAGGAGGTAAACACCCAGGCCGTGGGCAGAGAGGTGAGGGATAAGAAAGGAGGGACAGGGGAAGGATTCTGGGCCCCCAAAGGGCAGAAGAGCAGGGCCTGGGCGGGAAACCTAGGGACCCTGGGCTCCCAGACCTGGGTAGTCTTCTGAGGAAAGGCCTCATGCCTGTCCCCACGAGAGGCCTGGTCGGTTGCGGGGACTCTGGCCTTGGCCCCCAAGGTGAGTCCTGGGGGGATTCGGGGCCCTGGGAAGCCTCAGTCCTGTGCCTGTCCAGACAGGTAAAGGGGCCAGTGTCCGAGCAGGGTGTGGGCCTGGGGCCTGGGGCCACTGCCCAGAGGGGACACCAAAGCTCAGGGGGCTCCCTGGAAGGAACGTGAGAACAACCTCCTTATGGTCAGCTGCTGCGAGCTCCCACAGTCCTGGCCAGGGGGCTCCACACAGACACCACAGCTCAGGTGCACGGCAAGTGCACCTCATCCCGCACACCTGAGCCACCCATCCCCCGTGCCTGGCCCACCCATCCCCTGTGCCTGGGCCACCCATCCCCCGTGCCTGGCCCACCCATCCCCCGTGTCTGGGCCACCCATCCCCCGTGCCTGGCCCACCCATCCCCCGTGCCTGTCCCACCCATCCCCCGTGCCTGGCCCACCCATCCCCCGTGCCTGGCCCACCCATCCTCCCTGCCTGGGCCTACCCATCCCCCCTGCCTGGGCCACCCATCCCCCCTGCCTGGCCCACCCATCCCCCGTGCCTGCACCACCCATCCCCCGTGCCTGGGCCACCCATCCCCCCTGCCTGCACCACCCATCCCCCGTGCCTGGGCCATCCATCCCCCATGCCTGGCCCACCCATACCCCGTGCCTGGGTCCACCCATCCCCCGTGCCTGGCCCACCCATACCCCGTGCCTGGGCCACCCATCCCCCGTGCCTAGGTCACTCATTCCCCATGCCTGGGCCACCCATCCCCCCTGCCTGGGCCACCCATCCCCCCTGCCTGGGCCACCCATCCCCCCTGCCTGCACCACCCATCCCCCGTGCCTGGACCCACCCATCATCCGTGCCTGGGTCACCCATTCCCCGTGCCTGGGTCACCCATCCCCCGTGCCTGGGCCACCCATCCCTCGTGCCTGGGCCACCCATCCCCCGTGCCTGGGCCCACCCATCAGGGGTGTCCAGCCCTGGCTAAAGGCCCCGCCCACCTCTGAGGGCAAGCGTGACCAAGGACCAGGACCCCAGATTGTACATATTGGACTAAGCAGATCTCAGCTTTATTATCTTCCAGGACAGCAAGTAGGGCTGGCAAAAGGTGCTGCAGGGAGTTAGGACAGTCCCCCACCCCACGCATTGAAGGTGGGCCCCCAGTCCCAAGCCCCAGGAGGGCCTGCCTCACCCCCACAGCGGGCAGCCAGGGCTTGCTAAGAAGGCCTGTGTTTCCTTAGCCATTAGGTATCAGGGATCTCTAGGCTTGGCATGGTGACCACCACCCCCTGCCCCCCAGGAGGCCCTGGTCCATGAGCTCAGGGGAGGCCATGGGAGGTCATGGGGAGAGGGGTGGAGGCTGGGCAGGCAGCAGGATCAGCGGCCCCGTGGGTGACGGGTTCATGAGTAGGTGGCTGGGGTGGGAGCCAAGGCAGCTTTGGAGTGCAGGCGGCCCAAGGGCCTGGTGCCCAAACCGTACACTCCTGCGCCCACACTGCCACCTGCAGCTGGGGTCCCAGGGGCGTAAGCACAGGGCCTGCCAGGCAAGGCTGGGGGGGGGGAGGAGCACCAAGCCCCAAAGCCTGGGGCTGCTTCCCCTCGAGTGGGGTAGGGGGTACCGGGGAGTGCTGAGGGTGGCAAGGACGGCCGCGGGCCCCAGGACCCAGCCAAGCGCTGAAGTCTCCTGGAGCAAAGTAAGAATCTTCAGCGCACCCCATCAGGTGGTTCCCTCAGGCGGGAAGAGAGCTGCCCTGGGGGGCGGGGGAGCAGCCGCCCTGTGTGGGGGTGGGGGGTCACGGGGCTGTGGTCCCTCCTCTCTCTGCAGGAGGATGGCTGGGGGGGCTGGGTGTGTCCCCAAAGAAGCAGGGAAGCGAGGGGGCGGAGGGGGCGGGCTGTGGGTGCTGCTCAGGTGGCAGACAGACCCTCATCAGCAGGGCCCAGCGCTCACCAGGCAGCGCGGAGCAGGGCACACAGCAGGCTGGCGGACACGCCGGCCCACAGCGCCCCGAGGCTGCCTGCCAGGCCCGAGGCCGCGTTCCGGTTACACTGACTGCCCTGGCAGCAGGAGACGGAGAGGGCGCGGCCGTCGGACGACACCGTGCTGTTGGGGCAGAGGGGGGCGCAGGACTTCATGACCAGGATGCCACCAGGGTTGGCTGTGGAGACAGGAGACGTATCTGTGGGCATTGTGAGCCCCCCACTCAACCCTGGAGGACCCCCCCCCGACTGCCAGCACAGCCTACTTTTCTGGGCGGAGGGGAGTGTCCTAGGACCTCAGTGCCGGCAAAGGCTTGAGGGGTGCATGGCAGGCATCTCCAGAAAACCGTGCGTGGTGGAGCCCTTCCTCCATGCCAGCGGGGGGCTGCCTCCCCTCCAACCAGCTCCCTTGTAGCATGTGGGTTAGAGAGTGACATGGTGGCCCTTCCTGTGCCCATCTGTGGTGTCCTCCCTGCTTCCTTTTTCCAATCTAGGACGTCTAGGAGCTCCCCGCCCTCCCCTTGGCTTCTCCTACTTCTGCACTGGGAAGCCTGGGACGGCAGCAAGGATCCACGAAGCCCGCACAGCCCGCACCCGGCCTTCCGTGAGGGAGGCAAGCCGGACCTCACAGGGCCCAGGGGAGGGGGCGTCTCGGGCAGCCCCTGGCCCTGTGGGAGACTGGCGGGTGTGTGTGCAGGCACACAGTGGGTCCGACGGGGCTCTGGGGCGGGAGGGCTGTGCTGAGCTGCCTCCCCGGCCCTGACAGCTGTGCCCTGGACCCTGGGCGCCTCTCCCGCTGTCTTTGCCCTGGCGTGGGGCCACACAGTGCTGGTGTGTGAGGACGGCGGCATGTATTAATCTTTGGCGCCGTGTCAGTGTCGAGGTAGAGCTGAGCGCCAGTAGACTTGGCCCTTGCCCAGCCTGGCCGCTGCCGCGGGGGAGGGGCTGTGTCTGGGTAGAGCCGTGCGGCTCCCGGACAGGGCAGAGGCCTCTGTCCACCCCCTGGACTCTCGCCAGCGTGCTCATCCTCCAGCCCTGTGCTGCTCCAGGAGGGGGTGACCCTGCTGCCTCTTGGGAGAGCAACCCCGCCCTTTGGCACATGGTAACAGTTGTGATCTCTGAGGACCCATCCAGCAGGGGAACTCAGAGAGATGGACAGACAGACAGACATATCCAGTGAGGGGCAAATGGGAAGAAGGCACGGATGGGAACAGGTGCCCTGGGGAGCTTGAAAGAGCCTCAGGGCACCCAGCGCTGTACAGTGACAGGCTGGGTTTCCGGAGAGAGCAGTCAGGGCAGTGCTGGGCCCGCTGGAAAGAAGAGCATGTTTGGGCCGCGGCCCTGCCTGGTCTGGCCTCACAGGGCACCTGGGCTGTGTGCGTGGCTTTCACGCCCCCTGCAGGACAAGGCTCGGGTGTTCCCAGCTCCTGCCCTGAGCCCCGTTGGACTGGTGGGCCCCTGGACCCTCTCCTTGCTCACAGCTCAGCCAAGGAGCAGCTTCCCACCCTCTGCCCCTCCCCGGCACCCAGTGTGCCAGCGGGAGGGGCAGAGCAGGCGCCTCTGGGCAGGGTCTCCTCTGCTGGGTGGGGAGGGTCCTAGAGGCTGTGGAGGGAAATGTGCTTTTCCTGCCTTCTGGGTAGGATTCCAGGGCTGGCCGGGGTGTGGGCAGGGATCTGGGCATTGTGTATTTAGGGGACTTGGAGGACTACCTCTTTTCTGTAAAACGGGTGGCTCCAAGTTTAAGTTAGACAGAGTCACCATGGGGTGTTAGTAAGAAACTGAGGCCCAGGGGGGGGCCCAGGGCTGCACAGCCTGGCTGCCTGTCTTCCTGCTCGCTGCACAGAGAACCCAAGGCACACAGATGCATGTACACGCACAGACACATACACACACACAGATGCACACACAGGTGCACGCACATGTGCTCAGATGCGTGCATGCACGCACACAGATGTATGCTCGCATGCACACAGATGCACGCACTCACACAGATGCACACATGCACATGCACAGATGCCCACACATGTGCATAGATGCACACATGCACACAGATGCACAATGCACATAGAGATGCACACACACGCACAGATGCATGCACACATACACAAATGCATGCTGGCGGGGCTGAGGAAGGGGAGACCCTGTCGGGGAACCTTCTCAGTGAGGATGTCTGCTATGACATGGCTCAGGGAGAGGGTACTCAGGGCAGAGCTGCAGATCAGCTGATTGGAGACTGGGAGCCGGAGAGCATCAGAGAGGCCCAGAGGGTGCCTGGGAGGCCGGCTCTGGTACTGGCCAACAGCTTCTAGACATCAGCTTCCACATGCCCTTCTTCAGTCTGTGAACCAGAGGGCAGTGTTGTCCCTGGGGATTGGGGGGGGCGGGGGCTGAGGGCTGCCTGGTGGGTGTGAGGGTGAGAGGAGGCGGGGCAGGGTAGGAGCGTGGTGGTGCGGTGCTGGCAGGGCAGGACAGGGCGGCGTGGCCCGAGTACTCACTGGCCCGCGTGATCACACAGTACTTGTCCGTCAGGGCACACTCCACTAGAGACTCGCAGTTCTCATGCCCGCAACACACGTGGCAGTGCAGGGCCCGGGCTGGGGGGAAGCACAGGCCATCAGTCCGGGCTAGGGCTGGGGCTGGGGCCGAGGGCCAGGCCGCCCACCTGCCTACCGGCCTTCTTAGTGTCACCCTCTCTGATCCTCCCCACTCCTGAGGGATTTGGGGTGTTGACATGGTGCTTCTGGCACTCTCCCTGAACCCCCGTCCCCAGGCTCTTCTGGTCCCACGGGTGCCAGAGCCAGGCTGTGAGGGCTCTGGCAGGTGGCAGGAATGGGTGTGGTGAGGGGAGGCAGGCTCAGGCCCGGCCCGTCTCCCCACAGCTTCTAAACTCCTAGGATTTGCGCATGTGTCTGCCTTGCCTTTCAGCTGCCTCAGGAGAGGGGACTGAGCACGTGGAGAAGGTATCTGAGCCCCATCAGCTAACCCAGGACAGATGAGACATGTGTGTAGGTCGATGGGCAGCTGGGTGGATGGGTGGGTGGTGAGTATGTAGATGGATAGATGGCTGGGTGGGTGGGTGGGTGGGTGGTGAATGTGTGGATGGATAGATGGCTGGGTGGATGGGTGGGTGGTGAGTGTGTGGATGGATAGATGGCTGGGTGGATGGGTGGGTGGATAGATGGCTGGGTGGGTGGGTGGATGGATGGATGAGTGTGTGGATGGATAGATGGCTGGGTGGGTGGGTGGGTGGGTGGATGGATAGATGGCTGGGTGGGTGGGTGGGTGGGTGGATGGATAGATGGCTGGGTGGGTGGGTGGATGGATGGATGGGTGTGTGGATGGATAGATGGCTGGGTGGGTGGGTGGGTGGGTGGAAGTGTGGGTGGATGGGTGAGTGACCGGATAGAAAGAGGGCGTCAGTGTCAGAAGGGACGGGGAAGCAGCATGCAGCTCTACGAGAGTTGCCTTCAAAGGAGGTGTGGGTTCTTCTTACTACCCTTGTCCCTGCCTTGTCTGAGACATGGAGGAGGGACGGGGGGGGGGGGGGGCGGGTTGGGATGCCCTTGGTGTCCTCGGAAGATAAAGCACGTGGCTCCAGTCTCTCCTGCCTTGGCGGAGGGAGGGCTGCCCAGCAGTACTCCAGGGCTGGGACGCGCCTGGAAGCCAGAGACACCTACTCTGCCTGGCCAGGGAAGCAGTGCCCAGTCCACCCTGAAGGCTGTTAGAGGAAATAGCCAGTCCCTGCCCCATGTGCCCCTGGCTGCGCAGAGGCCCTGGTCCAGGCTCCCAGGGGGAGGGAGCGGGCAGGCCCCACGTGGGGGCCCTGTCCCAGCCACGGGGGTGCGGGGGAGGCTGGGGCAGGAGGGACAACGGTGGCTCTTGGTGACACCTGCTAATGTGTTTTGGAAGAGGGCAGGCGGTGGGAACCTTCCTGGAGTGAGCAGCTCTGCTCTGGGGCGGCTTCCCCCAGGAGCTGAGGAGCAATGCTGAGACACGGAGACATCAACCGAAGCAGGCGGTGTGTCGGGGTGGGGCGGGAGGCCTCCACAGCTGTGCCAGGTGATGGCGGCCCGGGAGGCGGGAGCAGCCAGGCGGGAGCAGCCCTGGCGCGGGAGCAGCCAGGCGGGAGCCGGGGCGTCAGGAAAGGCCGCTGTGCGGGGGTGGGAGGCCATCCCGAAGGAGCGCTCTCTAGAGGGACGCCCGCGGGGTGTGGTGTGTGCATGTGTGGGGAGTGTCCTGTGCGGGGGTCCAGCAGGGAACCTGTGGGTAACTTCTGGAAGGGGGCTCTGTACGGCTGCGCAGCCGCCCTGTCCTGTGGGTGTTCTATATGGGGCTCCCATGTGGCTGTTGCACCACAGAGATGTTTTGTGAGGGTGTCCTAGCGGGGCGTCCAGGGGTTTCCTGTAGGGCTGTTCATAGGGTGTCCTGTGCAGGGCGACATAGAAGGGGTCCCCTGTAGGAATGGCCTAGGCCCCACGCCCTCTCCACCTCAGCTTCATGGGGGGTGAGAGTGTGGGTCCACACAAGGCCAGCAATGCCCAGGCCTCTGTGTCACGTGGAGACAAAGAACAGTGCCCAAACCCGGTCCTGGGGCCAGGGCGGTCACACCCAGACCCTCAGGACACCCCTTCTGGGCTGAGAGCATGTTCCCTAGGTCGGGCTCTGGAACCCCCTAGATGAAGAGGTCTCCGTATGAGAAGATGCTGGGCAGCTGCAGACCCTCCGTCTGTAACCAGTGCCCAGTCCCGTTAAGGGAGGGAACGTGCCCAGGGCCCACTGCACAAGCACCCTCCCTGCTTCCATTTCGCCGTGGGGTCTCCTTTGCCTGAGGCAAGCATTGTGAGGGTCCCCTGCCATTCACCAGCAGCTCCCCCTCCTCAGCTGTCAGGAATGAGGGGTGTGCACTCAACTCCCCAGGGAAGCCGCATTCTGAGGACAAAGGTGTCCCTGCCAACCAGGCCCCAGCCTTTGGCACAACGCTGACAACTTCTTCTCCCCGAGCCCGGGGCTGGGTGACCTGAGCAGGGCCCTGGCCTGGGCCTCCCAGTTCCTTTCTCTTTAAGTTTCCCATGATGACCCCAGCCTGACCTGGGGGCCAGCCTCTGGCCCTCAGCTAATGAGCCTCTACCTGTGTGTCCAGTCTCTGGCTGGACCACTCAAGGCCACCCCCTCCTCCTTCCCACGCCCAAACGAAGCTGATGGGGCTAATTACCCTTGAGATGATAATTACTTAGCTGATAATCACCGGCTGCTGTGCATGCCTCCCACCCCCAGCCTCATTCCTGTCCCCAAACCAGGTCACCGGGGTCAGGGCAGAGCAGGCCGGGACGGGTCAGCCCAGGTGTTCTATCTTGCCTAGATCCTTCCTTTTAAGCCCCAAAGAGACCTAAACCAGTGTCCCGGAACCAATTCCCCCTCCATCACCCCTCTCCCACCCAGTCCTGGACAACGAAGGGTCAGCTGGCTGTGCCAGTGCTCGGTCAGGGGCTCCGTGCCTCCCCTCGGCCTAGCTTTTTACCTCCTTATGAGGCAGAAAGATGCTAGGCATTACGCCCAAAGGGCTGGGGCCTGGTGTCTGGCCGGGCATGAGCCTCCAAATGGCGCAGCTACACTCCTGCAGCCCCCACCCAGACCAGTGCCCTGGGTGCCCCCTCCCTCCCCGCTCCTCCGGCCAGAGCTGCCCTGCCCAGGGCCTGCCCGCTGCCCGCGTGGCCCAGCAGCGGCCTTACCCAGGGTGGCACACACGGCAGCCAGGAGCAGCAGCACCAGGAGCAGCCTCATCATGGACATCCACCACGACTGGAAACCACGGGCTCAAGGGCTCCTATATAAGGCCACCGAGGGGGCCGGGGCAAACCTGGTAATTTGGCTTGAAGAGAAGCTTGGGATGGTAGGGCTGGCCTGACTCATGCCCGCAGGCTCCCTCCTCCTGCTCCGTGGTCCCTGAGCCAGTGGGGTCCACACCTCCAGCAGTTACCACGGGGCCTGGTTGGGCCAGGGAGATGGAAGGTGGTCTGCCAGGCAGCCCTGCCCTTGGGGGGGCTCCGAGGTACCCCTCCTGTCCCCTCTGCCATTGTCCTGTGCCAGGCAGGCAGAGAGGCGCCGAACCCATTTTAATAGGGACAGTGAGCCACCGTGGGATGAAAGCTGGCTTTGACCAGTGCTCCTTTGTCTGAAGTGGGCATACTGTCACCTGGGACCTGCCTATCGGGCCCATTCTGACCTGGAGACCCTCAGGGCCAAGGCTGTGCGTTCCTAAGGGCTCCTGGGCTGCTGTAGAGACCAAGGAGCCTGGGCCGTGGCCCTGCACTGCGCCCGGCAGCCTGGCCTGTGCCATATTCCTGGTCTGGCCGCCAGCCCGCAGGGCAGCAGGGGGATGACCAGGGTACTGTGGGGAAGTGCCCTCCGCTTGGCACTGCCTTGAGGTCTTGCTGTGGTCTCAGAGGCTGGAGGGCTGGGGAGTATCATGCTCTCTGGTATCTCTCCAGTCCCCTGGTCTCTCCTAGCCTCCCTCCGTGCCATGTCCCATCCCTCCCCTCTGCTCCTCCCCCCTCCCCTCCCTTCTAGGGGGGCGCAGAGCAGACCACCCCTCCACCTCCAGGCCCTCACACAGGCCTAGCCTCGAGCCTAGAAGCTCCCATCCCAGAAGAGTCCTCCTGTCTGGAGCTCTCTTGGCATGCTACCCGGCCCGTGCCCAGAAGGCCCCACAGGGAGCCTCTCCAGACCACCTCTGGGGACGAGGGGCCCAAGGCCTGTCCCCCCCCCCACCTTTCAGGGTGGACTGAGCTGAAGAGGGGTCCCTGCTCTCAGGTGGGTGGAGGGCGGGAGTAGAGCTGGATGTGGGGGGCGGGGGAGCTGTGGGAATTGGGAGGGGGCAGGGTGGGGTCTGGGAAGGCCAGAGTGGGCAAAGTGAAATCACATCCAGTGCTGGGGGTGGGCGGAAGGGCTCTGCCGGAATATTCATCATCAGCAGCGTTTACTTTGTTCCTTAGATTCTTCTAGAACTATCAGGGTTTTGGAAATGTTGCATGTCCAAAACGGCAAGGAGGGGCCCACCCCATCTGCAGCCCCGGCCCAAGCCATGGGGACCTGGCTCTGATCACCTCCCCTGAGACCAGGAACCTCTGTGCTCCGCGGAGGACCAGCGGCAGCTGAGAAAGCCTGCCCAGCCCACGTCATGTTTCCTCTGGGTTCAAGGCCTCCCGGCCACGGGCAGGAGGATGTGTGAGCCCCCAGCAGCCACCGCAGGACCCAGAGGCTGCTGCTGCAAGTTGGCTGGGAACAGGGCTAGACCTTCCCTGGGACCTTGGCCTGGGTACCCGTGCGAGGCTGGCATGGGGCTGGAAGCTGGTGGGTTGAGTGGACCAAGCCTGTCAAGGCTGGCACAGGCAGTGCACGGGCCTGGACACAGCCCCACAGGGGGAGGAGGGAGGCCCAGGCAGAGCTCCAGGGTGCATCTCCTACCAGCGGGCCCCAAGCAGCTGCCTCAGGACAGAAAATATTTCTGCCCCGGAGTGAAGGGTCACACACAACCTGCCCGGGACTGAGGGGTCACAGGTCACCTGCTGTTGCTGCCTGTGTGGCTTGATTTGAACAAACCCCTCCTGGTTCTCCCCCTCCCTCCCTCCTGTGCCAGGTCTCCAGCCCCTGGTGCTGTGTGAGAGGGCAAATGGTACATGGGTGAGGGAGAGGCCATGGGGAGGGCAGAGGCCTGCCTGGTGCTGCCCGGGACAGCGACCCTGTCAGTGCCAGGCTGGGGACTCTGACCTGTACTGTGGGGAGCAGGGACTGGAAGGGGCGACGTGGGCACATGCTGGGACTTGTGTCCACAGAGGCAACGCAGTCTGGTGCCAGCGGCCCTGCCAGGAGGCCGGAGAAGGTGCCAGCAGCTACCTGTGGGAGTATGAACCCAATCTTGCAAGCCGAGGACACACGCCCACATAGCAGAGCGGGCAAGCCGGGGCTGGCTGGAGTGGCAGGCCTCCACCCTGGCTGGATTCCCTGGAGGTGATAAGGGTTCACAATCGGGGATCAGGGAGGGGAATCTTGTTTTTTCCTCCAGGCCTTGGAAGTAGGATATCTGAACCCACTCAATCTCAAAGGCCATTTTTGGGGCAGAGATCTGCGGCTCCCAGGTCCAGAACCCCAAGCAAGAGGCCGCAGGGTGGGGGTGGGGCGGGCTGTTGACGGCCGTACCTGGCTGTGCCCACCCCTCGTTAAGCTAGTGAGGCTCTAGGAGCTTACTCTGTACATGCTGCGGTGTGCCAGTTCCAGCCCAGGCTCTCTCAACGAGACCATCATTACAATGCAGCCTCCCCAGCCCCCGCAGCGTGCCCGCAGGGGCCCGGCCGCAGCCCCAGGAATGCACAGGGCAGGCATGAAGGAAGGATCGGGCATGGAGGAGGTGCAGCTGCAGGGATCAGCCATCTAGATGCCCAGACAGCTCACACCCAGTGCCAAGAAGGACCCTTACCACCCCAAGACTCCCAGGGAGCCGGAGGCCAAGGCCTGCCCCTGCCCTCCACCACCTGAGGCCCTGCCTTCTGCCCACCCTTCCACCTGGGCTGGAGTTGGGGGAGGAGGGGGCTTCCCATGTGCGTGTCCAGGAGTCCGCATCCTGTCCTTGGAGGTTCCACTTCCTTCCACACCACCCTGGGCCTTAAATCATCTAGTTATTGTAATTCCTGATACAGTGTAGAGGCTGTGGAAAAATGTATATCAGCACTATGTCTTGTAGGGATAAATGACAAGTACAGAACTTGTGTGTGGTCAGATACTTTTGGTCCAATATTAGTTGGCTCTGCCAGGTGCCAGGGCTTCACGCCTGTAATCCTGGCTGAAGCAGAGGTCTGAGGATCTTCGTTCAAAGCCCACCTGGGCAGGAAAGCTCATGAGATTCTTATCTCATGGCAAGTGACAGAGTGCTAACCTGACATTAAAAAAAATGTCCTCATTTTCACAATAAAAAAAGACATACTTCATAATTGGAAATAAATCTATATTCCAATGGTATATGTAAAATTAAAAAAAAAGAAATGTACTCATTTCCTTGCTCATGTGGTTGTAACCCCTCTACAGTATTTTCACAATAAAAAACTCATTAAAAAATTAAAAAAAAAAAAATGTCCTCAAGGACAGTGCCTAGGTCCCGAGTTCAAGCTCTACAACCGGAAAAGAAAGAAATTAGTTGGATCCATAGATATCAAGGGCCAGCTACACCCTATAAATCAGAGCTCGGGCCCACGACCCCACCACCTGCCCCCTGCTGGGCCCCCGGCGCCCTGAGACCTCCCAGCGTTCTTGTATCCTCAGGGCCCTCTCCGTGGTGGACAGTGAGCCAGTGGGGAGAAAGTGGGCACCCAGCAGGGTGTGCCTGCTAGTGAAAGACCCTCAGGCTCAGCACAACCTGGTTCCCCTCAGGGAAACTGAGTCTGGGCCTGGGGCAGTAGGCAGACCTGGACAGGACTGTGCCTGGGCTGCAGACTGCGGGGCCGGGGCTCACATCATGGGCTCCACAGAGGACCCAGGGCTGGGGTCAGCACAGTAGCCTTAGAGTCCGGGGCCTGCGCTGGGTCACCAGAGGGAGGGGGGAGAATCCTCAGGAGGTGTGCCTAGCAGTCACTTCCGGCTTCTCCTCCCTCCAGCCCTGGAAACCCACAAGCCGTTCTCTGTCGGCCGGCGCTGGACATTCCATGCGGATGGAGTCACGGGTTGCCAGACCTTTGTTTCTGCCACCTGGCAGCGTGGGTCGGCACCTCAGCCTTCTCTTCCCTCCCCTGCGTGGGCTTCTTCATGTTTATCATGCATCAGCCAGGTTGTGGAGCATCCAGTGGGACCAGCAATTAGGAAAGGATAAAAGCTGGGTGTGGTGGCACACACCTGTAATCTCAGCACTCAGGAGGTGGAAGCAGTTCCGGGCCAAGTTCAAGGCTGTGTGGACGACACCATGAGACACAGCCTTGGGATACGACTCAGTGATATAGCATTTATATGCCTGTGTCCCTGGGTTTTGGTCCTGTACACCAAAAGAAAAAGAAAAAAAAACACCAAAAAAACATTCAATGATTTTTAAAAAGATACGGTTTGACAAAGCGCTGTACACGTGGCACTGACAGCTCTCCGGTGGCCACGGCTGGGCCAAATGGAGCACTCACTGCGCTCTGACTCTGCACCCCAAACAAGGGCCTGTGAGCCACAGAGACCTGAAGAAAGACGGAGGAGGAGACACGCGTCTTCTGAACACAGACTTCCACGTGAGCGCCATGTCCTCCAGGAGGAGAGCTCGTGCAGCTGTTCTTAGTGCTGTCACTCCAGGGAGGACACGCGTCTTCTGAACACAGACTTCCACGTGAGCACCATGTCCTCCAGGAGGAGAGCTCGTGCAGCTGTTCTTAGTGCTGTCACTCCAGGGAGGACAAAGCAGGGAGAGGGAGCTCGGAGCACATCACAGGAGGGATGGGGAGCACGGAGCACAAGGGACATTGGACGCCGGTCGCCACCCAGAGGAGGCTTTGGGAGACACGGTGAGCGAAGGCCACGCGGGTCTTAGGCCAGCCCTCAGAGAAGGGCGGGACACTTGGAGAAAGAGAAGGCAATGCGAGCTCAGTGTGAACTTCAGTTAAAACTCACCTGTCAGCACGGGCTTGTGGGTCACAGTAGGCGGCCCGCGTGGCTGGGGCTGGGGCAAGGGGAATCTGGGTGAAGGGAACGTGGGAACCCTGGCTCCATGCCAACGTCTCTGTAAATCTGAAGCTATTCTAAAATGGAAGGTTTGGATACGA